CACACCTTCATACACAGGCATGAATTCTGGTGATAGTCGATTAACCTTGGTAAACTTGACGCTGACAAGGCTACGATTCTGCTCTCGATCCTCAACGTCTCCAGATGAAACGATGGACTTGAATTCCGCAGGAGGGTTGTCAACAAAGTCGTCCATAATGACGGAACCAAGCGAGACCTCCGCAGACATGTCGTATGGACGTAGATAGAAGAGAAGGTCAAAATTCTCAGCAACAAGCTCGACAAGAAGCTGATCAGGCTTCTTCCTGTCAGGATCGCTCCGGTAGAGGGATCCCTTGAGGGTATCAACCTTGAACTTGAGCTCAAAAGAACGCTGTTGGAGCTTTAGCTGTTCCTTGTTGCTCCTACCACCATCGTCGGCGTCTTCAAACTCATCCTGATCGTCGTCATCTTCGTCAATCACGATTGCAGCTTGTTGCTGCATGAAAGGGAATTGAGAAGACTTCCGGCGGCTATTGGTGTCTTTGCGAGAACGTGATCGGTTAGAGGCGGTGCTCAGGCCACGTGGGCGAGTTGTCACTGCTTGACCCTGGGAGTCCTTGATTTGCGCCTGTTGCAGCTCTTGGCTGCCAAACTTGGGGATGGCGACATCGATAATTCGCATCAGATTCTTGTACTTGGAATCTGATATGGTTGCGTGGAGCATAGGAAGGTGGCCAGAGACCTTCAGTTTGGTCAGATTTGGCGCCTTGGGCAGAATCGAAGTCTCAACCACAAAGTCGACGTTGATCTCTTCCACCACGTGCAAGTGCTGTGTGTCGTCCTTGGTCGATATTTGAGCCTTTGTCGCCTCGATCGAGGGACCAATCAGCACCTGCGTGGAGGAGAGCTTGACCAAGAATTTGTCGTACATGACGGACTCTAAACGCTTGAAGTCTTCGTCAGTGTACGATTGGCGTTGTTTCGACTGAATCTGTTTCATAGTATCCTGGTCCACCAGCTCGCTGTTAACGCTGATATGACCGGCATCTAAAATTAGGCAAGTAGATTCTTTGACGTTGATGCTGACCGGTACGATAATAAGCGGGGCCTGCAGGTCAAGTTGAGCGTTGATGGTTTTGTGCTCCTCGAGAGCAAATTCCAGACCAGCCCGCGTCTGTTCTCGGAAGGTCTCTACGGTGGCGCCAGCGGTTTCCATCAGTGCCGTGATGGACTCCATGTGTCGTTCGGGTGGTCTAAAGAAGTCGGCCACGCCTACGACGAAGTTTGGATTCCAGACAATCTCGAGTGGCTTGAGAGATCCGCTGAGAGCAATGTCGCCTTCGCGATCGATGGGATTTTGTTCGACCTCAAAGCGGAAGAAGGGTTCATCGTCGTTGTCTTCGAGCTCTTCGATGGTCAGGCGTTTTTGGTCGTGGATCTCGGGGGCGTCCTTGACTCTGACAATCTCGGGGAACAGTGAGTCTGGCGTGGTGCCATCGTTGACACGAAGTCCACCCAGACTGAGATCAGCCAGGAAGGAGTCCGGACGCTGCAGCACCTTGGCTTTGAACACATCAAAGTGCAGGCTCAGAAGATCACTCCGCTTGCCATTATGGCTCTTCTTCAGCGTAAAGCTTCCGGTGCTCAACCATGCCTCAACTTGCATTTTGACAGAGTCCCGAGGAACATCAACTGACTCTGCCAAGGCAGTCTTCTCGTCAAACTCGATGGCATCGTAGAGCTCTTTGCGCTGCTCCTCGGTAATTTGTGTGTTTTCGTCATCTTCGGCATGGTGTTCCTGCTGCTTCTGGCCACTGCCCCAGGCCCACGCCAGCCAGCCCTGTTGTTCCTGTTTAGGGGGCTGGTTCTTTAGGGCAGCGGCATTCTCCTTCTTAAGCTGGTTCCGTGCCAGAGATCGCCAAAATCGCAGATCCTCGTAATCAAGCTTGACCTCGAGTTTGTCGATGTCTTCATTCTCCTGGGAGCTGAGTTGTTGCTGCTGCTTGCGCTTCTTGAAGAGTTCGATGTAGCGCTGGCGGTCATCACGTCGTTCTTTGAAGTATTCCCATGACCATCTACGATTCTTCTCGTGGATCTTGCTGAGCACTGAGTCACCGGCGAACTTGAGCCAGGCCCTGGGGTCTTCCTTAGGTGTGACTCCTTTGGGCTGGAATTTCTTGTACTCTTGGTGGCGGATGAAGTAGTGGAAAAGATCAACCATCATCAAGCCATCACGGTACTGGTCGTCATCGATTACGAGACCAATCTCTTCAAAGAGTAGACTGGCTTTTGCCTTGGGAGCATGGACATCCCCCGTCTTGTCGAGAACAATTTTTGCCTTTCCGTTGACGGGTCGCAAGATGAATTGATGGTTGAGGCCTGTATCATCGGTTGACCCTATCAGGCTCTTGAACTTGTCAACCATCTCATCATGCGGCATCGGTGGTTTGTCGCCGGTATCAACCTCTCGGCCCGGGCCCAGCAGCTCTGTATCTGTGTTCCAGTAGACGGCGAGGGCACCGAGGGTTGCAAGCTTGTGGGTGCTCTTGGTCGAGTCCTGGACAAAGGTAGGCTTCCACTGGCCGTCGGTGCTGACAGCACTGAACTCTTCGAGAGTCACACCAAGTGCAAAGGGGTGTCCGGGAGCGGAAATGGAATCCTCATATCGAATATGGATGTTCTTGACTGTGACTTGCAGGTTGTCGACAATCTTGGTGACCAGGCTCTGGGTAAACGTCTGGCTCTTTTTCTGCTCCTCCTGGCTCATGCCCTCCTGAGACCTCTCCTTGAGAAGCTCTGCAGAATCGAGTTTCTCCATCTTGATTCTCTGCTTCCTACGCTCCTCCTCTTGCTCGTCATATGCAGCCTCTTCCCGGGGGGAGGCCAGCAGGAAGACATCCTCGATAAAGACTTTGACGGGAGCGCCACGTAAGTTGGACCATGGAATTATGAGTGTGAGCTCGCCGAGATGGCCTTCCATAACGTTGATGGGAAGCTTTAGCTGATCGAGGGCTTCCCTTCGAAGCTCGAGGTTGCGTAACTTGACATCGCCAGACCAAATCCCAACCTTGAGCTGTGCTGGATCGAAATTCTTGACGTACATGCCCAGGAACCTATTGAGCAGGCCGGCAACGAGTCCCTCCAACATCTTGTCTGTATGTGGCGCCTTAACCCTGGCGAGGGAGGGTCAGGTTGGTGTTCTATCGTGTATCGGTAGTGGGAAGCATAGGAAGGGAGAGACTTGGCAAGTCGGAAAGCTCGATGACGATGGGCAGGGCGCAGGTCAGATCAGTAGCCGCCGGAAAGGCTCTGCCGTTATCAGAGTGAGCGCGCGCTGTAGGATGGTATCGTGAAGGGGTCTTGGTGGGTTACTCGTCTCTGAGGTGTCGTTACCTTTTGTCGTATAAAAGGCTGGTGATGTGGAATTTTTGGGTATCGAGGGGTGGATGTCGTGTTCTCGGATGGCGTGCCGTCGGCCGTGACTCCGGGTCTGAGGTGGGTTGGCGGCGAGGTAGGGCAAAGTAAGTAGGTATGGGAAAGAGAGTGCCGCGTCGCAGATTTGCCCAAAAGTCAATGTTTGCCAGCTCGAGTTTGACAGATTGCACGCTCGTCTGCGTTGTCGATATTGAGCTGGGGCTGGGGGTGGGCGTTGGCAGGGTTGATTTGATCACAGTGTTGGGGCAGGTTGGGGTCTGGACTGACGGAGCGGCGGATTTGTGCATGATGACGCTGCCTGATTGTTGAAGTGGGTGCGCGCCAGCCAGCTGCCAAAGTGCTTTCCCCCGCACCAGAGCCAGAAACAGGCCAGGGCAATAGCTCGGCCCAGGGGCAGACTGTGGCTGCCCACTGCCTCTTGCCAGCTCTTCAGCTGCTCCTGCCCCGACTGCACCGTCACGGACGTCTTCCAGAGGATCTGAGTGGACCCGTTCAGCCACGGCAGGGTGGGTCTACCGACTACACAGTACCTCACTCCGTGGACCGTACCTCAGTCAAGATAGATACCTTACCTTACCTAGGTAGGTAGCTACCTAAGGTACATACCTACATCATAGCCCAATTCGTAATGCCCCCAGTCAGGTTTGTACGTATCCGTATCTGTATTCTACGTAAGGTAGTACGATCATGACTCCCATCATCAAAAAGGAATAGAGGTTATGAATTTTGGTTACGGTAGGCAAGTGTCAAAAGCTTTCTCTTTTCGCCTTTGGGAATCCAGTCATGATTTGGTGCATCAGTACGAACTGCAACACTGGAATATTTGGGTAAATTACCTACTGCCTATGCACTTGCGATGATGGATACGTTTGAGGAAATGCACTCACGTGCCTTTTGTGCTCCCTTATTTCAATGCCCATCTACCTAAGTTACGGAGGCTGCGTACCTTAGGTTAGGTAAGGCAGGTAGGTAACCAAGGCGTGGCATCGCATCGGCACAGACGGCGGGGATAAAAGCTTGGGCCATCGTATAGTAACGGTACCCCACCCCACTCTACTGCTGGTTCGTCCAATGCGGAGCCTCTGGCCCGGGCGTCTCTGAGGTAGGTACCTAGGTACCTCCCTGGACATGGGACAGGTCTCCACATTACGTCACCATCCGGCAGCTGGAGCTCTGGCAACCTCGATGACCTGGGCTGCGTGCGATCTGATGGCCACGCAAATGTGAGCAATGAGGACCTTAACGTGTACCAGCCGTGTGCCTTGGTTTTCCACTTCCACTTCCACTTCTGGACCCGAGCCTTACATCAACTTGAGGCAATCGGATAAGGTAGGCACTTTGCTACCTAATTTAATTGGTCCTACTGAGCGACACCAAAAGAGGCCTTCAAGACACCCGGCCGGACTCTCTCCTTTTGCTTGAACAACATCAACAACAACTTCCCACAAGCATTGAGACTACCAATTCCCACAGAGAATACAACTATCTGCTGGCTTGATCCCGACCTCGATTCCTTCAATTCATATATTTAGACTACATCTTCAACCTATCTAAAACCATACCAACCTCGCCGCCCTCACATACAAGGTAGCTCCAGAAAGCATCCGCCAAAGCTCCCTCAGGATGCTTCGCTCTTCGCGTCAACTCGCTCGGCTTGCTCCGCGCAAATTCGCAGCTCCCTCAACAGTCCCATCAACATCCTTCTCGACAAGAACTCCGTCGAGTTCTCCTCACACCCCCAGGCGACCTGCTTCGGTCCTCCAAGCTCGCCTGACTCCCTTGTCCCTCCAAGCACGATACACAAATTCGCCTTACGACAAGATTGATAAGAAGGCCGAGGCCGAGATTGCAAAAAAGAAGCTCGAGTCTAATCCCGAGGCGGTTTCGACCGAGTCGTCTAGGATCCATCTCTTTGAGCCGGAACCCGCAAAAGCACAAAAGGAAGAGGATCTCACAGGAGGACTCAAGAAGGAGTTGGTAAGTCTGCAGTAGCCTGTTCCGCCCCAGATACCATACGGTACACCAATTGACACATTGCCGACAGAACATTGTCAAGGATACCTTCAATCTCAGCGAAGTGCCAAGGGAGCCCTACTTGCTCGGTCTTGCAGGCACTTTGCCCTACCTTGCGACATCCCTGAGTACAGTCTACCTGAGCTGGGATCTGAACCTCGAATGGCCCTCCACGTCGACATTTGCAAACCATATTTACATGAACCATGATTCGGCGCAATACTGGCTGAGCCTCCTCGAGCCTATCCAGCTCGGATATGGCGCCATCATCATCTCCTTCCTTGGAGCAGTCCATTGGGTGAGCAGCATCCGCGTCAACTGTGACGGAATGGCTGGGCTAACGCTATTGTAGGGTATGGAATACGCCGAAAAGACGCCTCATCCCACCCGAACAAAGTTCCGCTACGGCATGGGTGTCGTCGCGCCTATGATTGCCTGGCCATCCCTTCTCATGCCCGTCGAATATGCCCTCACCTCGCAATTCGCCGCCTTCACCTTCCTCTACCTTGCCGATACCCGAGCCAAAAACAAGGGCTGGACCCCACAGTGGTATGGAATCTACCGCTTTGTCCTGACTGCCATTGTTGGAGTCTCCATCTTTGTCAGCTTGGTTGGTCGCACCAAGATTGGCAACGCACAACCCCACATTGGCGAGGGCCTAGCCGAGAGCATGCACCAGGGCAAGACCGATACAACCAAGGACTGGGCTAAGCTTGAGGAGGAGGAGAGAAAGAAGCAGAAGAAGGAGAAGGAGGAGGCCGAGAAGAAGAAGAAGGAAGAAGAGAAGAAGCAAAAGGAGGAGGAGAAGAAGAATGCCAAGAAGGGTGACTCCAAGAGCAAGACCAAGAAGGACGGCAAGAAGGACACCGGTGCTAACAAAAAGGACGACTCCGAGGAGGAGGAGGAGAGGGAGGAGGATAAGCAAGACGAGGACGACAAGCAGGATGATGAGAATGAAGAAAAGTCTAAGGACAAGGACGGGTCCAAGGATGACTCCGAGGATGGGGATAAGGACGATTCCAAGTCCAAGGACGAGGGCAAAAAGAAGGAGAAGAAGGAGTAAAGGCGTTGTTGGATTGATTCTTCCAGCAGTCCGGAGTTTCCCTGATAACTTTTTTTCCCATCTGTACTGTAGTTGTTGTATGTGCACGGCGGAAGGACATTGCGAGCCTGGTTGAATGGGCAAGGCGTTTGGGACATTTCATGTATATCGTTGAAGCAAACACTATATTCAAGCAAGCTATCGATTACCAACAGGATGGACTATCTACATTAGTCATTGCTACTATATCATGATGTGAGGTGTACCATGGCCCCAACATCTTCGTAAGGCTTTGATGCTGTACAATCCCGCATAACTTCATCACGCACCGACTGCAACCCACATTGCCAATCGCTGTGTTATCTCTGCTTCCCGTCCCCTACGAAGGGAACTCATCTGTGCCAGGGCCCTTCAAGCCCGAATGCACTCATCGCCTAGCATCCCAGAAGGCTACGCAACCCTGAGAAAGTTTTCAAGCCCCAACATTGCGGGCTATCGACCTCCCAAACCAGAACCAGCAGCTGTAGGCAAGGCCGAGCGAGCTGTGCACACGTACCCACGCGTGTCCAAGCCTTGAAAGCTTCCCTCCCTCTTTTCGTTTTTTTCTTCTCTTTTAGGATATGTTCTGTCGTCCTGAAAAATTGACGCGCGGCTGGATATTCCTCTTTCGGATCCGAGACGGCAAAAAGGCCTCCTGGTGGCAGAAGCGTGTCTGAGCACACTGCCGAATATTCCCCCCTTTAGAATATTCAGATCCGTGATGAGAAGGATATGTCTAGGGGAGTAAATACCCAGCAGATTTGAAGAATACCAACATACTCACTCACAGGACCGATGAATCATACCAAGAAATAGTCAGAAGAAAAAAAAGCCCGAAGCAGAGTCAAGAAATCATCCCGCCTATCCCGGACGGCACCGGCAGTCCCCGTAAACCCCACTTATTCGCCCGACGGGTCCCTCCCAAGTCCGTCCACGATCCCGTCCGATCCGCCCGATCGATAGTTGACGGGCCTTTTAATCGTTGACTTTTCAGAAGAAATTGCATGAACTTTCCCGGCCGAACTACCCGAATCAACCCGTAGGAACCAGATTGAAGCAACGAGACCGCGGCCTACTTGTTCTTCCCCCCTCCCTTGGTACCACCTGCCGTCTTGTCAATTGCATCCTATATCCCGCAATGACCTCACTCTTTTTGCGGCCCTCGACCCTGCCAGACCGTTTTGCGGCGTACCGCGGTCCGTATTCGCATGTCCCCGAGCCGTGTTGCAAGTATATCCAGGCACACGATTTTTGCCCCCACGGAAGAGTGTCTTGTGTTTCAATCATAATCGGGGCAAACGGCAGACGGCCTCGGCATCGGCAACAGGACAGGGCAGCGCAGCGCAGCACGGTTCACACATTTCCCCTGTCGCGAGTTAAGGCGAGCCAAAAGCCTGCAAGAATGCATAATCCAAGGCGGAAAAGGTCCGAGAGGGGAACAGCATTACCTGGTGTCCTTCAGCTATCCGTTTTGGCGGCCATGTATTCTCTCGCTTGGATACCGTTTACGATTCCTCGGGTTTTCCCAAGATCTGCAGGGCGTGACTTGAGATCCGAGTATTCTTACCACAAGGTATGAGGAAAGCGCCAATCAAGACGAGACTGATGGTTTTGCGCCGGACTTTTACTTGATCAGCATCCGCATCAGCACCAAGCAGCACCGCCTCACCATCACGAGACGCATTTTAGGAATAAGAAGGAGCAACTCTCTAACTACAATACACCGTCCCGGGCTTACCAGGATATCCAATCCGAACTAGACAAAGGCATGGGAAATTTCGACATGCCCCCGCGGAAAGCGTAGCCATCTCGCTGCACAATGCGATTCAGCAACCCTCAAAAGATCATCATCGGTGACGTGGTGGGGGTTGGCTAGCAAAAGAGAACGTCACCCACGTCAGGGTCAGTCAGACACGGAAGTCTTTCGCAGCAATTGAGTCCAGTGGCTAGGCGGCCAGCCACATGGCAAACTTCCCTAAAGAGCCTTTTTTTTTTTTTGCCCTCAAGATGAAGTGCCTTGATTTAAAGTGATTTGCGTTAGGGGGGAGGGGGGGGGGGGCGAACCCGACCCGAGGCATCGTAACTCTGTCGTAGGGCTCATTCTAGCTTTTTTTTACGTTTTTCCTTTGTATCCTTTCCTTTCTCTGCAAGTATGTAATCACCAATAAACTAAGTAAGGTAGGTACGGCCCAGTGCCGCCTTGACTCCTGAGAAACCGTTTAAACTCTCCCAGGATTCCGGGTTCTTTGCATCCCGCTGCATTCAACTGACACGGTTCCAGTGCTCTGTCAACGTCACTTAGAGAGCCAGGCAACCTGGAAGGTAAGGTAGATATTCTCGCAGGCGTCTAAGTCTCTCCTCCACGAATCAGTTTGGTGTTGAAATCTTCTTCCTCGCTGATGTCATTGCCCGCCCCGCCACGCCACGCCGCAAAGCCTTCTCTCCCCCCCCCCCCCCCAGGGTCTCCGCGTGAATGGAGCTGCCAAAACCCTTTAAACCCCCTGGGAACGTCGCTTCCGAAGCGGACACGATGTTGTCACTGGTTCCTGTTGCCCCTCCCGCCGCCGCTTCAAGATAGAACTACGGGATACCTCATTGCTAGACAAGGGCCAGATAGCGGCACAGCATTTGTGCGTACTGTAGTCACGTAGTGCATCCGTGGTGTAATGGTGACAGTGTGCGCGCGGGGTTGGTCTCCTCCCGAGCAGGAAACCCCAGCAGCCGGCAAGGATAACGAGAAGAAGACGAAAGAAGATCAAGAAGAAGGTGATGGCCCCCCCCTTCTGCCCCTCCATCGAACCTTGACGTCATCGCCACGACGCCAGACCACGCGCCGCGTCTCACTTGATGGACGACATGGAAAAACCTCTTGTCACGATTTCCACGATTCCATGATCCCATCCCGTGGCGAAACCTGTCTGTTATTCTCACCGTCTTTGTGGCCACGCGGAGCAAAACACCCCCTCCATGAAGTTAAACCTTCATTCACTCTCCGTCGGTTTGGCTGATCTGATGATTTCCGTTTTCCCACGGTTCGGTGTGCTGGACATCCACACAACCGTCAAGTTCGACGGTCCGGTGCGGTGTGCATGCGGCGGTATCGGAACGTTGGGGGTGAGGGTGTCTGCTACCATGTGGCTCAACCGTATTGCATCGGACCCAAAAGACGAGGGGGCATGAACACCATCCACACCTCCATGATTGATGCCATCACCAAAACTTGCGACGACTCGCGCATTTCAACTCGTCGCAACCTCATTTGTCTCTTAACCCGGAGCTTCTCCGCCGATGCAAGATAAACTCTGCCATGATGAAAGGCAAATATTTGCCATTGTGTCAAACGAATGTCATTTTTTTTTCTTTCTTTGGCACATGTGTCGCCGACGCGACCCGGTCCTCTGTACCTCTGAGCCTTTTTGGTTAATGATGTGCGCTGCAGGCCTGCAAGTCGCAACAGATGAACCTGTGAGCGGAGCCGCCAGCGCTTTATTTTTTCGTGTTTCCTCGGCCGCATGTAGATCTTTTTGGTGAGAAAGCTGCGGAGACATTTCCCCCGAAGCATGTATGATCGTCGTTCGCCGCAGCCAACACACGCGAAAAATACCCCGAGAGCAATACCTATCCTCACACCTCACCAAGTAACGGAAAATGTCTTTGTACATCCGCCGTTCAAACATGTATGGTAGAACCGAGCCGACTGTATCGCCAGCCGCGCCGTCGGCGGGTATCGTGCATAAAACACAACATCACCAATAATGTTTCTGTTTCTGGGGTGAAGTGTGCATCAAACACCCAACCCTTCAGGAATATCTTTTTAGTCCGGCATACCTATCTACCAGAGAGCGAACCAGTCACATGGCCTTCTGCCGGCCGGCAAGGCGCCCGTCATGCGGCATGCCACAAACTGGACAAAGGAAGCCCGTCCTTGGCCGGCACTCAAACCCAATCACTTTCCACGGCAGCGGTTTGTGTCGCCAACTGGATAAGATAGGTATATATGTGTTGCAGCAAGGCTCTGGACCTCGTGACTGCTGCCTTTTGGCTCTGGAAACCATGATCCCCGCCTCTTTACCGAGGATTGGTCGAACAGGAGCGTAAGCTGATGATAAACCCCCCCCCCCCCCCCGATAAGCCGCAATCGAGATCTTCCATCTCTTGACACTTTTTTGACATGTGGCTCTCTGCCCGGCGGCCATCTCCACATGGCGGGCCTCACCGACCGTTTTCCGTGCGTCTGGCGCGGCCCGGAACACCAAAAGAAAAGAGCGGCCACTTTGCCGGTACTCGAAGCGCCTGCGTTTACGGAAAGTATGTATATGTTTGTATCCATATGGCATGCGCGACGATCAGAGTTCTTCTGTGAGAAATTCTAGGTTTTCTGCAGCGTGCCAAGCGATACTCCGGGTACAAGACGAGATACAGTTGGTCAATCAAGTCCTTCCTCGAAACGCCGTGCCTTGCTCCGGTGAGCCGGTCCCAAGAAACGCCAAGGTATTGCCCGTTGCCGGACTTGGTCCGAGGATCAGGATGAGGGTGAGCATTGAGCATGGAAAAACATTCTTCTCTTCTGCCTCTAGTGTGTGTGTTGTGTGCAACTGTGGCCTCAATAAGCTTTCCCCATGTCGCCGGAAGACGGTTGGATGGCATGCACGACTCTGCCATGACCGCTACTAGGAGTTCGAGCTGAGTCGAAGAACGCTTGTTGATCCCGCGAGAACTGATTCAGGCCGTTTCATACGGGATGGTCGCAATGTGAGTGAATGAGTCGGTGCTCTTTCGGCTATGCCCGAGTCGGTCGGTGTACGTATCCCTATTGTCGCGTGGGATTCGGTGACTTGAGACGACATGCTGTACGGATACGGTGTGTGCGTGTTTGAGCCGTAAAGATTCAAGTTGAGACTAATCCTGCACACTTGGGCTTAGGCACCTAGTTCTGTCTTCGGATACGGTACCTAGAACTCTGAGAATGCCAACGGGGAAAA